ATGGCACATTCGAAATTTTGTCCCTGATCTGAATATAACTCTAGTGGCACACCATGACGATCAAAAACTTCGTCCACTAGCACCTGGGCAACGGTTACTATTGCGTAAAATAATACGTTTGACTAGTTTTTCAACTTTATAACTAGGTGTATATTCTGCTAAAACGCATGGTTTAGAAAATATAATCAAAAAACTGGAAAAGTCCGAAAGTTTCGTGACTCTTCGTCTTTCGACTCTCTTCAAACTAGCACAGGTTCCTCGAGGTCAAAAACTCATATTCTACTCCACAAACTACCCACAAATGACATACCAAAATATCATTACCCAGCGTCGGACTGGGCCTAAGAGGCCCGGGTGGCATAACGACTTAAGGGGCCCGCTGCCTGCCTAGGAGAGCATTTATGTCGACCAACAAACCAAATTATGATAATGATCAAGTAGGCAAGTATTTTTGGATGTTTTTATTGTCAAAGATATACATTTATAAAATCCAAAATTAGCCAATCAACATTTTTTTTTGAAAGAGATGTTTTAGTCAGACTGTCAATAACTCGTTCATAAAAACTGCCATCCTCGTCATCCTTATTGATAAGATCCAATTCAGTATTCAGGATAATCAACGAATCCAGCAGTTCTTGCCCTAGTAGAAAACGAAGCCTCGTTTTGATACGTTTTAGTGAGGAAAATCGTCTTTCGCAAGTCGCAAGTTACTTGCGTAACCGAGATTGTGAGGATTGTACAATAAGCTACATATAGATTGGAGTACGTACTTATGTGCATGTTGTATTGAGTCAATGGTATGCAAGTTCGGCAAGCATCGGAGAGAGTCTCTTGCAGACAAGCAGCTATCGCCGATCTCTTCCTGCTCTTCGTCTGCTTCCTCACTTTGCGAATCTGAATCATTTTCATGTTGCTCCCGAGATGAAACGCATTCGTCCCAAATAGTTTTAGAAAGTTTTTTGAAACATTTTGCAAAAGATTCGAGTTCTTTTGATAGTAATTCTCGATCGATATTGGCAAATGATCCGATTGACTTTATTGCGTCCGTAGGAAGTCCGTTTTTGTCAATTTCGTGGAAGTTTTTCGGATCCAAATAAGTAGCATCCTTCATTAAATGCTCGTTGCAGTTGAATTTTTCATCTATTTTAACTAGCGCCGTGTGGATGATGACCTTGAACACGCAGTAATAGAGAAAAATCTCTTTGGGTCCGTAGATAAAAGTCCAACTTCGTCTTGACATAATCGTGTTTTTTCGGTTTTTTACATGTTCTCCGTAATGGCAGCGTGGTCTCTATCTCAACATGGATGTTTCCGATTTGAACAAATTGTTGAACTTGGGATGCAAACAGACTTGCAGCACTGAAAAAGTCATTGAAATGATCTTATTGTTTTCGCAATCTCTTCTCCAAAGTTTTGATAAATCTCCAAGCTTTATGATAGTCCAGTGTAGGAGTTTGGAGTTTGGAGGTAGAGGCTTAACGGGGTTGATAAATCGAACATTTTCTTGAATGCAAAGGCTGTCAGAATTGTTTCAAATTTCAAAAAGGAATCCATTAATGCCTTTGCTTGAAATGAAACCTTTGGCTCGAACTCCTTGCTCGAAGATATAACACTTAGAGTCTTTATCAACGTAACGTATCGAGTTTTCTCCAAAATGGTAGTCAATGTTTTGTCTTTGTCCCACCATCTCGTTTTTCCGATGTTTTGTAATCGCCTGAGCTTGTCTCTACCAGCTGTTAACTCCGCGATTTTGTCGACCTTATACTAGAGTGTAAAATACTTACTTTTTCCATTGTAATATATTATTAAGGTATAATTTATTTCGAGAGGAAACCAAAGTCTTTCACTTAATTAAAGTCACTAGGTACCTATTGACGTGCTTTACAATTTATTTGTGAGTTCACAGTTCACAAATCGGAAGCAGTGATGCCAACTCACTGAAGTGAAAAAACCCTACTCCAAAGTTAAATATCCCTAGATCAGGCAAAAATGGCTCATAAATTCCTCCCCGGTTTTCCCCTTCTTTTATTATGGCCCATTCACGTAGCCTGCGTGGCTAAACATGATCGCAATTTAATTTGATGACAGTCCTGATTTTCAATGTTGCCATGAAAAATGGGAAAATTAAAAATATTGGTAGGAATAGGAATGACACTCTTGACAATTAACTAATTTGTTTTCTTTGATGTTGGGGTATCTACAAGAGGCGCTTTTTTTTTTCATCGAATTATCCACCATTATGAGAGAGTCATTTCGATTTTCCATGAACTAAACAAAGATAGACTGCTCATCAATGCATCAACCGGCGTAAAAAAAAATGCAATAAATCTAATTAAACAGTAAATACCAGTAATACCACAGCAAAAAAATATCCCTAGTTTGGCCTGGTTTCTGGAAAATCTCCCCTCAATCCCTAATAAGTGTTAAATCCCTAATAAGTGTTAATATCCCTGGATCTAGGGATAAAGTTCCTAGGTTGGCATTATTGATCGGAAGCTGAAAACAGCTACGGTACACGATAGTTAATGTCCAATAACAAAACATTAATGACATATTGTTCGTCGATTTTTACCTGACACTATCCGTATGAAGAGCAAGGAGATGAAGTATATGGCAAAAACAGATGTGACGTCAGGTGATCATTAGCGTGTAGGGTGCCATCAGCTCACATTCCTTTCGAGTATCAGATAAAAATCGACGGACTTTACGTGTTGCCGCAAATGAACATGAACAAATAAGAATATACATGAAACATGTTAGAATAGGATAGCGAGAATCAGCGCGCGCGCGATTTGCGTAATGGCGGCTGAATTGACTGGCTAGCCCTCACAAGCTTGCGCCTGTTTGCCAATTTGCCAATTTGTACGCTAATAATTGTGGGGACGCACGATAAAAGACCACTGGTAAAGTGCGACAAGCGAGTCAACCTTGGTTACGTATGAGGTAGCAGAGGGGAAGACGGAAACCTATACTATGCGACGCGACGGGGCCTCGACGTAGTGAATGGCGAATATTGCGGTTACCCTGACGCGACGACCGACGCATATGTATATTTAATCTCGGGCCAATCAGGAGGGTTTTGCCCGCATTCCTTCCACACAGGTTCACTGATTCACTCACTTGTCGCACTTTACAATATTAACTCGTTCGATACATGTGCATGCGGACATTGATTGGTGGATTCAAGCAGCTTGACTTATTTATAAAAACAAAATCATTATCTGAGAGGGGCCAGCACAAGCCAAGTCCGGATGGCAAATGCCGCCTTGGCCCTATGGCCAGTCCGACCCTGTCATTACCTTCTCCTTTTCAGCAGAAAGTACTTGCCTGCTGAAATATAAGTACATACTAAATCAGCGATAAACTAACTTCATATTTAAAGCCTTCTGTAAATGTGACCGTGACCCATATTTATTTTTGAGTCACTTGGCTATTAAGTTACTGAGTAACAATAATTAAGTTCAGTAGGCAATAAATAATATTGTGACCACATTTCCATGTATTTCTGACCGTTACACGGTCAAAATAATATTTTTTCAAACCCAACATATATTTTTATTGCTAACTAAAAATGGAACCCATACATTGTTTGGGTTAGTGAGAACGAAACCCAATTAGCGTGAAATGGGACCTTCGGACTGGATGTAAATTGACCCGATCGTTTGGGATTTTTGTCGGGCGCCCGTGCGCACGTGAACAATTCGATGGGCACGTTTCATCCATCAGGAGATTCTATTTTAATCAAATGAGATTTTTGGTCACAAAGTAGGTACCTATTGTACTTGTCGAAAAATTGAAGGAAATTGTTCTGTAACAACAACGGAAATAATTAATGGTTTCACCAGCTGTACATTACTAATTATGGTAATGCAAAACATTTCAAGTCATCCAAAACTAATCCCAATCTATGTTTTTAAGTTGAAAAAATAAAAAAATAGGTTTGAAATCTGTGCTCAAATTAGTTTTTTCTTGTCGGAAATGCTGCCCTCTATCAACAACTTAAGGTAATTTCCTATGATGTACATACAGGAACCTGTTTTTTTTTTTTAAATTGACAGTTTGAAATTTAAATTAAACCAATAGAAACCTGTTACGTTATGATAATATCCTTGCGTCATGACGTCATTTTCATTATTAACCTAGCTTTTTTTTCATTATTTTCATTATTAATTTAGGGAGAGAAATTCAATTTTTTCCAAGAAAAATAAATTGAATAATGACCACTTCTCAGGTAAGTATTTAAAAAAAAACAATTATTATTAGTGTGGACGAAAGCAAATGGATTTAAAAGAAATTTGAGGATAGAAAGTTTAGGAAAGAAAAAAAAGAACATTGTAATATTGTGGACAGCGAAATAGAGATCGTGGAAGGCACAACAGATCTAACCAACAAAATATTTAACACGGATAAAGGCCAAATTATGGACTGACTGGTAAATGCAGTTGGTCCATAATTTGGCTCTAAAAGCAATAATTCAAGCAGAAACAAATGTGGTATATATGACTGTAGTTATACATTGTCAGTTAGAAGTAAACTATGATATTGAGATTACCAAAACAAAAGACATTCAAGGGAAGATAGACTTAAGTAGCAACGAATACAATTTAAGTACAAAGTACAAATATATGTGATATACTAAATACTTTAAACAATAAAATATATAAAACTGAGAATACCTACTGAGATTTATCCTAGCTGTAATGTATTAGGATTAAGTATAAGTATATATGGCAACCTTGCAAGGTAGTCTGAGGTTTAGTACCACCGTACCACACAAGGTGTAGTACATGATTGAAAGAGACCCGTGTGGAATTTAAAAAAAAACCCGGAGAGTATTTTGCGCGTTTGATTTCCTCCCTATAAGGGACATTACATTGGCGACGAGGACTTTAAATAAGTGGTGTACCTAGGAGATAATTGCGTGTGATAACTCGGAGTGTTCGAGCCCAAAAGTGCGTGAGAAAATCGTATTCGCGAATACGCCTACCTACCGATGCAAAATGGCGAGTACTGGCGTGGGAGACCTTGGCATTAGTTTAGTTTTTGATCCAAAAACTAGTGATTGGTGTATATTTCTCAGTCGATTATCACAATATTTTCTTGCAAAAGGCATTAAGGAAGATGATATGAAAAGGGCGATCCTGCTCTGCAGCCTTTCTGAGGAAGCTTTTATTTTGCTCACAAATTTATGTGTTCCAGAGAAACCCGAGGATTGTGAATTCAAAAAAATAGTTGCTAACCTTACGGGATATTATGAAGTTAAAAATTTGATATGGGTAGAGCGTGGAAAATTTTATGCAGCACAGAAAGGTGAATGTGAAACGGCTCAGGAATGGAGTACTAGGTTGAAAGAGCTAGCTAGTAAGTGTCAATTTTCTGGAGCATTGGACACAAAATTGACCGATATCTTCATTAACAATTATAATATTGGTAAAGTGAAAAATACGCTCTATGGCTTGAAGCCAACTGTAGTTTTTAGTGAAGCTTTGGAGACCGCACAAATTGAAGAAGCCAGCCAAATGGGAGTAAAGGAGGCCAAAGTAACTTCTGCGCAAACTACTGTAAAGCTTGAACCTGAAAACGAAGTATTCACGATGCCACAAGGCGGTCATCAAGTGACAAGCTCAGGAAATTTACAAGAATTTTCGGAACGCAGGGGAATTAGCGGCAACAGCGCGCAGCCACCGCGGTGGTCAGCAGGCCAACAGCGGGCTGGGAGAGCTCCGTTTTCTTATGTTAGGGAGACTCAGCAGAGCCAAAAAAGGTTTGGTACTGTTGGTAGTGGTACCTCTGGTAAGTGTATTCGCCGTGGCAGGTTTCACGCGGATAACGGATAACGATTACATATTACCTATTTTTATGATTCGTACAAATTTTACCGATACAGATGAACCTATTTTTATTGAAGTATAAATAGAAAATAAAATGATTGAGTTTTTGAGTTAGATTCGGGAGCTGCAGTTTCCGTTGTACCATAATTATTCTATTTTTGAAAAAAAAATCTTTAAATTTCAATTGTCGGAGTACGAATAGGTACATCATTTTTTGATGTTTTGGCCACAGATGGGCCCGCATTGCTAGGTAGAGATTTTATGTGTAATTTTAATTTGGGATTTCTTGAATTAAATCGTTTTGTGAAGCAAACATAGTAAACAAGCTGAAGTAGGATTTTCCGCTAGTTTTTTCTCAAGATCTGGGTACTTTCAAGAGATTCAAACTGAAATTCAAGGTAAAGCCAGATGCAATTCCGGAATGTTGTAAACCTAGACCCTTGCCTTTTGCATTGAAAAAAAAAGTTGAGGAAGAATTAGATCATTTGGTAAGATGTCAAGTTTTTTGGCCTGTGGAATTTTCAGAATGTGTAACGCTCTTTTGTCGAAACAAAAGAATGTTCATAATCTGTGCTCGACTATTGCTCAGTGGTTGTTAGCATGGGGTGGTCCTTGATGTTGGTACAATAGAGAGAGGGCGCCACTAGTTTGTATAAATTATTTTGATTACCAAGGAATAGCCAAACTAGGCACTATTCCATTAATTAGTTAGTGTTTAAAAAGATAAATTCAAAAAAATCTGAAAAGGTAAAATAAATCCAAAATCCAATAGCTATCTGACATTTAACTCATTCAATAAAAACACAAGCCTTGGAATGCTAAACACATTTATTTATTAATTAGATGTTATTAAAATTTGTGACAATATGGCAAACTTTTTTTTATGGTTCTAAGAAAAATATTGTCCACTATCCAAGTTTAAAAAAAAAAATCATTAAGCAGCTTTCTAAAAGCAAAACCTAATTTAAATAAGTATAGTAGGATTGGAATTCAAAAACAATTAATAGATACCTACGATGAAATTTTACTAAGTATAAATGATGAAGTCCTAATACCATTAACCTTCAATTTTTGACTCTAAGTCAATCAAATCAATAGAAAACAATTTATTCAATTCAGAAAGGCAATAAATAATCCTTAGGCAGTTATAAATATCAAAAACCTGCTACATGAAATCAAGGCTTCACGGTTTCCGGAAGAGCTCTTCCCTTCTTACTTTTCAAGTTCAAAATAGGTAACCATGAAACTTAAATTTTACATTAGTTCACCTTGTAAAGCTACCACATTATTGATTTGAAACTAAAGGTTAGATTTACCTCTAGGAGTTAATTAATCCCAGATATATTATATCGGTTAGTATTCGGTACAAAAGAAATAAATTTGGAATAATTATAATAATCCATAATGATTGGATACTAGATAAAGATAATGAAAGCGATAATAAAGGCAGTCATCTGATTACGATAATGATTAATTAGTTAATAAAAAATTACATTAAACTGTAATTAGCTATTTTAGCCAAATACTACAATAAGGTAAACAGATAATAATGATCAACAGTTATTAATATGTCTAAAGATAATTATTAGCTAATAAAGCTTATTGATAGGGAGCAGTAGAAACGAGATAATAAGTAACGGTAATTAATTTTATAAAGATAATAATTACTAATAAAGGTAATCGACAGGGAGCGGTAAAAAAGATAATGATAGCTAACGGTAATTATTAAGGCACAGTTACGGGACCCCTAGGTAAGTAATTATACAAGCCTGGACGAAATCCGTGGAAATTTTCATGAATTTGAGATCCAGAAGCACCAAACTGACGGAAGGCAATCATTCAATGGTCGGGGATCAATCTCTCACAAGACACAACTTTTCTTGTAAAGGGGGCCCAGACTTGCTTCGGAAATGCAGCACCGTATGGTCTCAAATTCGTCAAATTTTCACCCAGAAGTGTAGGCGTGGATTTTTAATACTCTCCCAAATTGCCTGAACGGAATGAAGAAATATAGGGACTCATTTATCAAAGGGAAAAAAGGGTTTATATACCTCAACGGCCGATAATAACCTCACTTTCTGACATAATCACTCACTACTCTGGCTAGTTAAATTAACATAATTTTGGGCTCGATGGCCAAGAATAAAAACCAAAATTTTTGGATTTCCTCAGAGACGACCTTTTCAGTCTAACTATCAAATCGAAAAAGAAAGTCAAAAGTATCAAACTGTGGTTGTGTCTCCTTCTGTCAAGCCTGTCGAAATTATAAAAATGACAGTGCTACGGGTTTTTCTTATGAAGAACCTTAGTTCGGTTCGAAGGGAGTGCGAATGGAGTCACTCCGAGTACCGGAGTGAGCAAATCGAAACCACCTTTTGATAATATAATTTTCGGTATTAGGTCAGGAAACTAGTCAGAGGAATCATAGATGTCGCCAGGTGTACGAAATAGAATCTTAAATGAGTTCAAATATATGAAATTAATTAAGAACAATTAAAAATGTTCTTGTGTCATTTCAAATGTTAGAAATGGAGCACACCCATTGTACCCCTTGTAAAAAAATGGTGGAGTACGGATTTGTTGCGATTATAAGGTAACGGTTAATCCTTCCATATTAACCGATCAATACCCAATTCCGAGATTAGATGATTTGTTTAATAAATTACAGAGAGGTGAGCAATTCACAAAATTAGATTCAAGTCAAGCATATCAACAGATTGAATTGGATGCTTCTTCGCGGCAATATACCGTAATTAGTACACATAAGGGGTTGTTTCAATTTGACCGTTTACCATTTGGAATTTCATGTGGTCCGGCTCAGTTTCAATGATTAATGGAACAAACCTTCAATAATATTACGGGGTAGCGGTATTTCTCGATGATATTCTGATAACTGGTAAAAATAAAGAAATGCACACGCGTAATTTAAGAAGGGTTTTGGGTATATTACCTTACACGAAAGTAAATGTGAATTTTTTTCAGACTCTCTATCATATTTGGGGTTTGTAATTGATAAGGAAGGCTTACACAAATGTGAAAAGAAATTGATAGCAATTACTGAGTTGCCCGTTCCAAAAAATGTCACGCAATTAAAGTAATTTTTGGGAACTGTCAAGTATTATAATCGTTTGGTGAATAATATTTCAGAAATTTTAAGCCCTTTGTACAATCTTTTAAGGTCGCCCACAGGGCACCCCGGCTCACCCCTAAGGGGGTAGCTTGCCCAACTTATTACTTTTTTTTTCAATACTAGCATACTTTGTGCTGCACATCGTTGGATAGCTCGTTGCTTTCCCTTTACAGTCTTAAAGCAAAATCTTAATCGTACGATTAGTTTTTGAGATATCAATATTTAAAAGTAAGCACTTTTGAAAACTATTAATTTTGACTATCTCTTACTAAAAATAATTCTGTCATAAAAGTCTCAAATACACAGAAGAACCCCCGCTCCATTTGTCTGGGGGGCTAGCCGCCCGTAATAATTTTTCTACGGGCATATTTGAATTCGGCCACAAACCAGGTTGCTGCAGTAATCTTACCTTTGAATTCGGCCAAATCATGAAACCCAACCTACCGCCCATAAAACTTACCTTATGATGTTGACAGATTTCGCATCGCACTGAGTTAATGAATCTAAAAAAGTGTAAATATGTATTTTGATGCGCAAAATAAAAAGATCTACCAAAATGACTATGGAAAAATTCACAGGCATCTGTTATCTTATCCAGGTTTATCGAGGCATGTGCCATGTGTTTATATAAAAAGTGGAAATAGCGATTCGTCTGATATGTAATTGCCAATGAGATAATCTGAAAATTTAACTAGAACTTCGCGATTCGGCAGAATAGCTAACAACTCAAAAACAAAGAAATCGCTAACTTCTTGATTCTCCAAAAACATCATTCCGAAACAATTATGTAACGATTTACCGAATCTTTTTTTTTTTAATATTCGATGCTTAAGCCTAAGTTTTGGATCTTCTTCCACCATGCCTGACATTTTAGCTATTTATAAGAAGTAAATAAGTTGATTTAATATCTATATATCAGTGTACCGATTTGCATATTAATACTGATGGCCGATGGGTCATAAAATATCCACCTACCTGATAACCGATTGGGCCGAGTTCTTAGACAAGGTTAAAAGAGGGGACGAGTAACCAATGAAACTAAATTATGATAAAATGACACCAGGCTTCATAATGGAAATATTTTTGTTGGTTAGAAAACCAGATTGAAACAAGAATTATTTATTCACCTGTGAAACGTAATTCCTGGCACTGTTTTGTCGCTACGACTCTTGCAATTGATAGCATCAGAAATCACCATCTTGATCACATACTAAAACAAATATATTTCATTCGTTTTCGTCGCATAAATACAGAAAATATGCCGGGTGTCAATCTCTTTGTTTGGCATCAGGACTATGGCCGCCGATCAATTTTTGGTCACACGTTCACGCGCAAGCTTGTAAATGCCTGTTACCCGTCCCCTCTTTTTTCCTTGTCTAAGGCCGAGTCCAACTATCCTAAAATTGTCACACTTTTCCTTATTCCGGAACAGGTGAATTTTGTGGCCGAATTCAAGGATCCCGAAGCGAAACACAGGTCACTATTAAGTGAATAATGAATAAAATAATAAATAATCTGTGTGTTAATATGTGGCTTTTCAAATTATGTTTTTGTTTAAATTTGGCATTGCAAGTGTCACATTCAAATGGATAAATATCCGAATGTGTTAGTTTGTGAATCTTTAAATCGGATTTCCGTTTAAATTTTGATTTGCAAGTGTCACATTCAAAAGGATAAATATCCAAGTGTGTTGAAATGTGCCTTTGTAAATTACCTTTTTGGTTTAAATTTTGCCTTGCAAGTGTCACATTCAAGTGGATGAATACCCGAATGTGTTAGTTTGTGTATCTTTAAATCGCGTTTCCGTTTAAATTTTGATTTGCAAGTGTCCC